TGGGTTTTAATCGTAAAAAATACACAAAATAACATCTCTTGTGCTCAATTTGATTTGATGGAATGAAAACGTCGAACAATGACATTGCATAAAAATCATTTAAACATCACCTATTCGTAAAACGAACTGCATCGACGTGTCAGAAATGCCAAATATACCTTGGAAGTAGATCCATATTGCCTAGGTCACCACATGAGAATAGTTTGGAAAATTCTTCCATGCTTGCAAGCTCGCAATGTGAAATTAACATGTTAGAGGCGACGAAAATTTTGCGAGAAAGAGTCTATACACATATACATTGTTATAGATATCTAAATATATACATATTGAACATCAATTTTTTAAAAAATTAATCAAATCCTCTACTGCTTCGAACTCATCCTTGAAATTTCATTGATTAGTCTTGTCTTGTCGCCGCATGAAGTTCTGTCATTCATCCTTGGAAAAAAAATTCTAATATCCTGAAACCCTTTTCTTCTCTCCATCTTTTCTTAGTTTACAAACATCCAGCTTGTCACGAACCGGTCCGAAGACTCAAATTAACGAGGTGGGAACAAAAGGTTGACGATTAATACATTTCTTTAAATACATAAACAATTAAAAAACTAACTTCCCACATTAGACTGAAGAGATACTAAAAAATTACAAATTTAAACATATGCTTAAACTAGATTTTACCTATTTTCATTTGATCTCCTTCATTGATAGACGTATTATTCTCTTTTAGCCATTTTGTTTTTCAGAAGATTTATCTGAAATTTCAATTTAACAATTTGAGTTTACATAATAAACTCAATGCATAATCACATATTGTAACATAGCAGTTAAATATACACATAAAACATACTTAAAACGATCATGTTTTTTTGCCTTCCTTATACAGCTAACTTATACGCTTCCAAAAATGCCCAAACACATTGATAATCGTGCACATACACTATGTAATGCCTTGGAAAATGTGTAAGTATCTATAGGCGCGTGGAAAATCATGCAAGTTCATGTAGGTACTTAAAAAGTCTACAAGGATATCGGGAAACTTGTAAGGATATTGCAAATGCATTGAAAAATGTATAAGTGCATTTTGTAGACGCATTGCAAAATGTGCAAGTATATTGAGAAGCATGTATGGACACTATGCAAATACAACGAAAAACATAGTGTATAGTATTGATGCTTAAAAAATGATGCAAGCATATGAAAAGCATGTGAGTATACTATGCAAATCCAAATGCACTTAAAAGCATGCATGTACATGTAGGCACATTGAAAAGCATGCATGTCATCCAAATGATACTTCAAATTGCCAAGAATAAATATCTACATGTGCTTCAATGAACGTGCTAAATATTCAAGTATAAAGTTTGAGAATGTTGTGCTGGCTAAAACCAAGTTGAATTAAAATCCTCTCATTTCGAAGTGTGTTTTTGTTCTACAAAGCCTGAAATTATTTTAAAATTTATAAACTCCTTTTCCAAAAACTCACTCATATATACTCCATTTAGATGCATCAACTCTTAATTTAACGTGTGAGAATGCTGGACATGTTAAAATAAAAGAATCCCTTTGCTAATCATGTAATCCATTTTTGAAAACATGGGCAACCATTGGTGAAAATTCACTCTTTCTGCTAAGTACAAATTTAAACTCTCATTTCATATGATGTTTTCTCTAGCGGGTTGCCTTGCCCATGGGACTGGGTTGTAAGTCCTCAATGTTTAAAAATCTTGGAGTAATGAATCACAATATTAACATAAAATCTTCTTTTAACTAAGGCCGAATTGAATTTGTTTCATTATACAAACATACAACTTAGGTCTATCAGATTTTATTGGACAATGCAATCCATGGCTACTGGCAAGGGTCCTTCGATTTTGTTGGTTTGACTACCTCTTCTGAATAAGTAGAACAAGGTCTATGACAATTCCGAATAACAAAGCCTTGAGATCTTGATTGGGTTCCTTGTCATTATGCACACCATCTTCTTTGAGTTGAGGGCGATAAATGTCCAATCATAAATCAAATTATTGCTATTGTATGCTAAGTATGTATATTATAACTACTAGCCTTAATGGAAAGCTCCCCCTCATCATTGGAAAGGATAATTAATCATAAAGGTTTTACACCTATAGTAAACTAAAACTAAATTATAAAATCCCTGCAAAATGAAAGCTAAACTTTCGGTTGTGTTTTTTTTTTAAATTTAATTTGCTTTCTAAAAAGTTGATCCGAAACTGGGTGCAAATTTGCAGAGCCCACTCCTGATTAGATACCAAGGAGGGAGAAAGATATATGTATAAGTTAGCCAAACAAAGAGATATGAGTAGTAAGGATTTAGTTCAAGTGAAGTGTATTAAGGATGAAGATCAAAAAATACTTTTCTTAGAAGATGATATTCAACAAATGTGGATGAGATATTTTGCTGAACTTTTTAATGAAAAGTGTGAAAATAAGATTGACTATAGTGACCTTAGCACCTAATGAAATAATAGATTCTATTTTTATCGCGTATTGTAAACCGAAGTTAGAAAGGCTTTAAAGAAAAATGGTGGAAAAGTTGTTGACCTGATGATATTCCAATAGAGGTGTGTGGAAATGCTTAGGAGATGAAGGAATTTCTTGGCTTACTAAACTTTTTAATACTATTCTTGAAGACTAAAAAGAGCCAGATGATGGAGAGATGAGTGTGTTAATTACTATTTTTTAAGATATAAGGTGATAGCACTAAGATTGTGCGAATTATAGAGGAATTATTTAATGTGTCATACCTTTAAAACTATGGAAGGCGAGTTAATGGAGCAATAGGTTGCGACGTGTACTAGATGTTTCTCAAAAATAATTTGGATTCATGCGGTAGGTCGATCTATGGAAGCCATAACATTTATTAAGGTTTGATGGAGCAAGAAGAGAAAATAGGAGGATCTACATATGATATTTATTGTTTAGAAAAGCATAATGATAAGTTCCAAGAGAAGTGCTATGGAGAGTTCTTGAAAAGAAGGTGTTAATAATGCTTATATTCAAATCATTAAAGTATGTATGCATGAGCTATTACTTGTGTTCCAACCAATGGTTTGACCAAGTATTTTCCTATTATCGAGTTGGGTTCATCAAGGATTCCAGTCTTAAGCCCATATCTTTTTGCTTTAGTCATGGATGTTCTCACTAGACATTTGCAAGAGGATGTACCTTGATGTATGCGTTTTTGCTGATTGATATTCTTCTTGTTGATAAGACTAGAGAGGGATTGAAAGTAAACTTGAATTATGGAGGTCAACATTAGAGACTAAAGTTTTTCGCTTAAGTAGATCTAAAACAGAATATATGGAGTGTAATTTTTGGAGTAATAGACCTAGTGAGTGGATTGTGACTTTGGGCGATCAAGTCATTAATAAGAGTACACGTTTTAGGTATCTTGGATCTATTGTTCAGAGTGGATGGTGAAATGATTGGGATATTAGCAGTAGAATTCAAGTTGGATGGTTGAGGTGGAGATGCATCGGGCTTGTTTTGTGATAGAAAAGTATCCTCAACTTAAGGGAAAATTCTATAAGATGGTTAGTGGGCCTGCAATGCTTTATGGTGCTGAATGTTGGCCATTAAAAGAGAAGCATATTACTAAGTTAAGTGTGGCAGAGATGAGGATGCTCAGGTGGATGAGTGGCTTTATTCTTAGAGATAGGATACGAAATGAGCATATTCGTGAAAAGGTTGGCGTAGCTCCGGTACAAGATAAGATTAGAGAGAGTCACCTTAGATGGTTTGGTCACATAAAACGACGGCCTTCCAATGACCTGATTAGGAGAGTAGAGGTATTAGATTTGACTTATTTTAAGATAGGTAGAGGCAGACCTAAAAAGACTTGGTTAGAAAATATTAGGAATGACCTTTCTTTTTTAGATTTAAACGAGAATTTGACCTTTAATAGGACAATAGAGAAAAAGGATTCATGTAGCCGACCCCACGTAGTGGGATAAAGGCTTGATGTTGTTGTTGTTGTATCTTCTTGCCTTAGCCTTCTCTTGTGATTCACAAGTATTTTGTGCATCTCTTTCTACCTTCATACTCCCTCTATGATGCTTTTTTGTTTAGATTTTTAATTTTACGTCCATTGTTTTATCGTCTTTACATTTCAAGTCGTTCTTCTATGCTTGATTCTCCCATTTTCTCAAAAATAAGTTACAAAGGTCCATAATGAGCATCACATCTATTGCCTGTTCCATCAATAATCCGTACTCTTCCTTTCTCTCTCTAGATCACTTCCCCTCTCCAGATCTTGTTGTTGTTGAGATTGGTGTGGTTGTCACCTACCTCCATGCTTGAGTTTCTCTTTGGTAATGCTTGACTTAATCTTAACTCATTGATCTATTGGTTAGATTTTTGGTTCATTGGCTCACAATTATGAGGATTGCCTTTTCATGGTAGGTAAATTTGAGCTAAATTGAGTTTCCTGTGCCTTTTGAAATCCGTACATTTAAGCGGTGACTCCTGTTGTCTTCAGATGAAATCAAACTGCTCCTATTTGGCTGAACAATTATTCTACCTGCCAAAATCTTGTTTCGTTATAAACCCCAATGGTTTAATTTGGTTAGTTTACTTCAATTTCCCTTTATTTTAATCCTTTTTTGCTAACTTGTTTTTATTATTTACCATGATCTATTGCTGTCTAGTTCAGATAATCTCCCTTTTAAACTCATGCTCCGCACCTTTGCAACTGATGAATTTGAAATGCAAAAAGTTATCATTAGGTTCTCGAAATCTTGACATTTAAGCTGTGACTCCTGCTGGGTTATGCTGAAATCTTGCTTTATTTGATTGAGCTATGCTTTACCTGCTAAATTGCCATATGTTTATTTTCAATGGTATAATCCTATTAGACTACCCAGATTCCCTTATATTTCTCACCCCGTTTAGTTAATTTCTTGTCTTTATTTGCCTCATGATCTATTATTGCTAGTTTAAATAATTTTGCTTTTAGGCTTAATTTTCTTGCTGACATTTAGGTAGTTGTAGCAACGATTGCTTTTGGAATGGGGATCGACAAGTCTAATGTTCGAAGAATTATTCATTATGGTTGGCCTCAGGTGTGTTACTTGACTAGATGTCTTCAAAATATTATTTGCTGTTGTGGCAGTTGCAGAAGCTTTTATTTGCCATCTAATATGTCGAAGAAAAAGCTTCCTTTGTTTGTAATAAATGGATTATTTAGCCGCTGAAAGTTTCTTGAGAAATTTCTTTACATTGCAAGCATGCAAACCTTTTCTCTTTATTTTTTGTCATCATGAGCTTTTTATTATAGCAATTATATTAAGTTCTATTTCAAATGAATTAATTTTTGTTTTACATATGTTTCATGAATATTTGATGAAATTATACAGCAGTATGCAATATTTTTGTATATTTCATTATAAAGCTTTTTTCATTTCTTGAAAAAGTATATTGCATTCTATTATGAATGTTTAATTTAACTTCGAAGAACCTGCAGAAACGGATTTGTTTCAGATTTGTCAAATCTGTTTTGGCTTGAATAAAGTTTTTTCAGCGAGTATTTCACTTGATTTTTTGGAATAATCTTAAATTGATGTGTATAAGGCTCACATATGAATGAATCACCTATAGACACTAATATATTAATCTCTAGCAACTCCAGAAGGTCATAGTGATCCAAGGGGAAAAGCTGTAAAAATCAGTGGCTAGGAGCCCCTAGTGCATCTCAAAATTGCTAGCCCCTTAGAAATGCATTAGGAGTCGACTATTGCTTCATTTGGGATGGCTTTCTTACTGCTTCTTAAAGCAGCTTTGTAGTAAGAAAGTTGTCTGAAATGAAGCATATGTTCACCTTTTCTACTAGAAATTTTATAAAAATGTTTTATGCCTAGATCAACTTATCTATTTCTTGCTAACTTTTTTGTCATGACCCGACCCGATTGCTCGATTTAACGAGGCGGGAACTAAAAGTCTGATGGTAGGATCAAAATATTTCAATTCATAAGCAAATACAACATAAATTTTTATTTTTTTTCCATTCAACTGAAGAGCCTTTAACAAAAATTTTCTTTAATATTTAACATCTGTATTAATACTTAACTCTCGTTTGAATGGACCGCACAAGAAAGCCCCCCACTCGACCTGCTCTTTGTTCGAGTCCATGCGCAAGCAAAGCCAAACCTCCAGCTCATTTCTTTTAGGAGTCTGATTCCTCTGTTTCTTGAAATCGTGAGGAAGGAGAAAGGTTTATGGTGATTATTAATAATAATAACCATTAATAATAGTTAATAATAAACAAAATATTATTATTATTATTATAAAAAATCGACATTGCAATCGCCGATAGGAGCTGAAGACCAATTTAGGGACCAAACAATGTTCTGAAACCCTCAGTTGTTAAACCCTATTCGGCTGGGCAGGCTAGAAAGGGCAAGTGCCTTCCCTAACCTCTTCTCATGGGGAGGGGACACCAGTAGGTTGTCGAAATTGCGACTCTATCAAATTTGTTTCAAGTGCTTGTCGAACTTCTAGGATTTATTGGAGAATAATTTATTGAATAATTGATTAATTTAAAATTTAATTAAAATTAAAACTTTAATTTAATTAAATTACATTTAATTAATGAGCCATTAAATTTAAACCTTAATTTAAATTAATTTGAGCTTTCATTTAAGTAATTTAGTTTAATTAAAATAAAATCTTTTAATAATTAATTTAAAACCAACATAATTAAATAACTAATTTTAAAATAAGATTTAAATTCTTCAATTTAAATAATTAATATAAAGTGTAATAAAATCAAAACTTTAATTAAATTAAAAAATTCAAATTAATTGAATTCAATAACTTTAAATTATCTAAAATTAGTTAAGCAGCCCATTTAATCTAAATAATTTTAAAATAAATTAACGAGTTGGACAATTGATTTTAAATTTAAATTTTAACTTTAATTAAAAGTTTATTTAATTAATTAACCTAATTATTTAGTAAATTCAATTAATTTGAAATTAATTAAAATGTATTAAAACGTGAAAATAATGTTGTCCAATTTCCAACCTAAGTACAAGCAAAACAAACTCTCAAACTAAACACCACAACACCTCTCTAGCAAGCAGCTCCCTAACAAACAGCTCTCCAAACAAAACTCTCAAACTCTTAGACTCTCAGTAGCAGACAACTGTAACTACTTGTGAGCTCCCCAAACTGATGCAAGTACTATGTACCTGTAGGAAAATAAACAAAACATCAATACACTAATAAAAAAAGAACAAGTGCCGGTAAACAAGCAGGTACCGATAAAACAAAACTTGTATTAGAAATAACAGAACTGGTTCTAAAACAAATAGATACTGAACAAACAAGTTGGTAAAACTACCACTGGCAAAACAAAGAGCTGAAAACAAAGTTCTGAAGTTAAAACAACAATAGTTAAGTGAAAGACAAGCTATTGATATTGTTGTCAAAGCAGTGATGCGAAGCTAAAGGTTTGGCTGCTAAAACCCCTCTAAACTAAATCTCGGATAAATAAGTTCTACCGGCAACTTCAAATAAATGTCATAAGTTTGATTTTAGGATAAATCCTCAGATAAAATTAACATAACCCCGCTAGGCTTTACGGGCCACTTCTAAGCGAAGTCGTAAGACCTGCATGTTAGGGAAGCTTCTAAGTGAAGAACACTAAACCTCTTAAACCCACATGCTACTTCCAATCGAAAGTAGTAAGTCCTCCAACCAAACGTTATACGGGCTACTTCTAATAGAAGCCGTAAACCCACTATACAGGCTACTTTCAATCTTAGTTGTAAGTTTCGACCCAAATTCAAACATACGGACAACTCCTAAACAAAGCCGCAATACTCAATCTAAATCTAAATTATGGGAAAATCCTAAGCAGAGCCCCAGGTCCCAACCCAAACCAAATAACCTACTTTTAACCACTTCAGTTTACTCGGGATTCCTGGGAGGAGGTAACCCATGATTGCTAATCAGATTCTCTGGACACTACAATCAACGTTTATTAGTGTTGATAGACTGCAACTTACGGGTATACTCTGGATGATAGAACCATGGGATCTTGATCAGGTTTAACTCCATCCCCCACAACCAAAATTTAAAACTGTTGCTCGTCTAAATATTAATTTATCCTTAATCGAGAGTTATCTTCTAGGCGTTAGGAGGGGTAATTAACTACGAGGGCTTGCCCTTATAAGAAGTGAAAGCTCAGAACTAAATAAACCTTGATGTCGTTCATCATGGGGAATCTGGTTAATTTAAAATCCAATCTACCTAAGGAAAAAATGGGACCTAAAGCTTGCTAAAGCGGGGTTCATGCTGTTAGCACGACATTTCATTTCTTGAGTGAATAGCTGCTACTATACATTGGTACTTAGTGTCTATCTCACAACTAGCATTAATCGAATGTTCTCTAGTTATCGGGAGATGTAATTAACCATAGGGGCTTGCGCTTATGAGAAACAAGAAATCAAATTATAAAGTCCTCATAAAATGGGGGCGAAATCTCTGGGTAGTGTTTTATCTAATCTGTCTTCTGAAAATTTACCCCATAATTTAAACTCTTTAGAACTCTCACCGTCAACAAAAGAGACGTGGAGAGGCCTGAGCACAAATTTTCGGAGTGCACTAGAGAGCATGACGACTTCTTACTGATGGAGAAAACAGAGCGCACATGAGCTCAGAGGAGTGCTTCCAGTGCCTAGGGGAAGAGTGGAGTAAGCGGAGCTTGGAGAAGTCAACAACTTTTAAACATCAACACCCCTCTAGGAAATTTTTGTGACCAGTTGGGGTTGTTACTCAATTTCCTCTTATTTTTACAAGATGCTACGTATATTAGCCATTTATAGCTTCCGTTTGTTTGGTCAAATTGTGGCCCAGGGAAGCTATACCCTGAGGTTGTGGACCCCACTGGCTTCTCAGCTGAATGATGTCTAATTTCTCAAAAGTAATAATCAGCGGGAGAGCACTAAACAGCCAGATAGATACAAGTGTCTAATTTTGCATTACTTGCACCAACTTTTTTCATTTTTGATCTTGGTTCATTCCGGCTTGTTTTTCCAGCAACTTCTGATTTTGCAGCTTTGCTTCTTTTTAAATTGCTGTTACGATTTGGTAACTTGTCTATACTCCACTTAATCTGTTAATATTATGTTCTTACTTAGTGACAATGTGATGGTGTTTTTGGGAAATGCAGAGCTTGGAAGCATATTACCAGGAGGCTGGTAGAGCTGGAAGAGATGGGAAGTTATCAGATTGCAGTTAGTACATCCTTAAATTAAATGATTTCTTAATCTCGATATACTTTTTTAAGCATAAATTCCTTGTTTTCTCTTCACAAGTGAAATTTGGTGTGTATAACTATGTATCATTTTTTGTTCCTACAATAGCGTAACGCATTGAAGTGCAAATATAATCTATTTCTTATAATGGCATTGTGATTGTTTCAATCTCTTAATTTCTTGAGTTTAACCTTGCAATATAGCTTGTTCTTCGCTGTTGTGCTCATAATAATGTGCTCTTCTTAGCAATTGTGCGGGGAATGCTAATTTGTTTCTGATCACAATATTCCTATGAAAGAGCTATTGATGATGCATATTTGTAGTAGTGATTGGATTGATGTAGAGTATTTGGCTGACTAATCATATTTACTTCTAGATCATGTCAAAGTCAGCATTTTGTTTATGCCATACTAGGTTTTACTTGAAATCCCATTAATGTCATGTTGAATTAATTATAGGTCAACTTACCTCTAGGTCCTTAAGTTTAATCGGTTTTTTGAATGGCTATGATGAAACAATCGAAACCGCATAATCAATCAAGGCCGACTAGATTAATCTGATCAATCAACTGGGACAAGTTGCGGGGATTGGGGGTTCAAATGTTTTCAATGCACCCTAAATATTGTTTAAGTTATTGTAACATACTTGGGGTGGCTTGGTTGGCTGCCAAGATGAGTCTCCCAAGGTGGCATTTAGCAAAAATCATGTTCGTGTGGTAGTTGGCCAATACCAACACTAGCAAATTGACTTGTACCAGCTGGGCGATCAACACTAGCAAGGAGGTCAATGCTTTGTCGGTTGGCAAAACAATGCCGTGAACGAGAAGCAAAGCAATTCAAAAGAAGAAACATCTACATAGAGTGATGTGGAAAGGAACAAAAGTCATCTCATAGATAGGAGTTCTATATACATAATTTTAATATTATTACAAATCATGACACTAAGAGTGAGAATAAACAAAGAAATAATCAAGGTTGTGAAAACCGGACCGGACAACGAATCGGAAGAAGAAGAGGTTCACGGTTCGACCGGTGGAATCGGAGTCAAACTGGATGACGTAATAAATAATAATATTATTAAAAATTAATAAAATTAACATAATATAATTTAAATAAATGAGCATTTAATAATATTTATAATATTTTAAAAAATATATAATAAAAATTTATAAATATAATTATCATTTAAGAATAATATATTTATAAGAATGATATTGAATATAATATATAAATTTATATAATATACATTATATCAAATTTATAATACATATTGCTCAAATTTGTAGCCCAACCTTGAGTTGTGAATCATATAATATAGTTTATATGATATAAAATTCTTTATAAGTTTTGTTCAGCTTAATTTTTATTTTTTTTGACAAACATTCAACCTAAGTCTATAAGTTTAATTTGAACGATGAAACCCATGACTATTGACGAGAATTTTTTGGATAAGTTTGGTCGACTAATTCCACTGAATAAATAAATCAGTGTTCATAACTACTCGAGATGATAGAGCTATAAGATTTTAATCGGGTATTTTATTATTTTGCCTTCCATCCGTTTAAACTAAAGGTGATAATTTGTTTCAATCCTAAAGCCAAAACTACTGCTATTGTTTGCTAAGCACTTAGTATTTCATGACTAGCCTTAATCAAAAGTTTTATCTCTTTGTCGGGAGAGAGAATTAACCAAAGATGGTTTTGTTTATGGGAAACCTTGAACTAAGTCATGATGTCCTCTCAAAATGAGGACAAAATTTTTTGGTTGTCTTATCTTCATTCTAATCACTCTTATAAAATGTTTGAATGTAGGACCACAAGCTCACTCAGAACTGTCGGGTGCATATTTTTTGTGCATACAAGTATTCAAAATCAAATTGACACTGATTTTGTTTGCTTTCTTGCATGCATTGAACAAATCTAAAAAATAGTGGCTTATATTTACAACATTATGAATGCAAATATTTTGAAAGGATGGACAATGGAATTCCCGTAAGATATCTTCAACATTGGTAATGTTGGAGCTACTCTTTAGTTTGATTTATTCTCTAAGGTGGTGAGATTTATCCCCACCACTTTTAGTATTTGGAAATTAGGTCAAGTCATCTTCTTTAAAAGGGTTCGGGCATATTACTTCTCTGAATTAATGTTTCGTTGTTGATTTGTATGGTTGAAACATGTGCTGTTTTATTGTTTTGCGTTACTTTAGCATAGTTTCCCAACTTCCATTAAATTCTTAACAAATATAGTGTTTTGGAACAGTTTTATATGCTGACTTTTGGAAATGTCCCAAGCTTCTTCCTAGCCAAAGAAGTGAAGAACGAACCAGACAGGCATACAAAATGTTATCAGACTGTTTTCGGTCATAGTTCTGAACTGACTAGCGAAAGACTAATTTTTTCTGATCTATTATTTCAATTTGTTTATTTTTATAAAATTTTGTTCAGATATAGTATGGATACCGCAACTTGCCGTGCGAAAACACTTGTCAAGTATTTTGGAGAGGAGTTGAATGATGATTGTCACATGTATGCCTTTTCATCGGTACTTTATTTTTTGGCTCTCCTTACATATCTTTTTAGTTATAAGATTGTTCTCCTTGATTTAATTATCCTGGTTGAGGGCTACGTACTATTTATCAAGGGAGCAACTCCCAAGTTTTGGCATGTATATTCTGAAGTAATATAGGCCTCACCTAACTAGCAGAATTTTCTTAATTCTGATTATTCTTTGTCATGTCTTTTTTGGATGGTTGATTCAGACATCATGCAACATTTATTGAAGCTTTGAGCTTTTAATAGAGTACTCCGTTGGGAGCAGTTTCAATAGGCACAATTGGATATGGAGAATTTGGCCATGTCACGACTCGGCCTAGGGGCTTGAATTAATGAGGTGGGAACAAACAGTCAGATGATTGATTAAATTCATTTGCTAAAATTATCTCTGATAAATTGAAAGAGCCACTAAAAACTTCAAAATATAAAATGAATTAAATACCTTTCTCTTGGTGTGCCATGTCTACGATATATATTCTCTTATCTTCTACTCATTTTAATTATGACAAATAATACATGTAAATATTTTTCGATTAAAAAGGGTGAGTCATAACATAACTCAACAGGTAAATCATACATCTTATGACCCAATATTTCATGAATAAATTATTCTAATATTCTTTTCTTACCTATTTATGAAATTAATATTGATTAATAATAACATAAATTAAATAACAAATAATTTCTTTAAAATTAACATTCCCATTCATCTTCAATTTGGTCGACGAGTCTTAGTCTTTGCTTGTGCTAGTGCTCTCGCTTGACTCTTTACTCGCCCTTGCTCAAGTTTGGTCACATGTATCTCTTTTGCTCCTGGTCCTTTAGTCTCCATCTCTCTCTCTCTATCTCTCATTCCTTCTCTTTCTTCTTCCTCTTAGTCACGGTTTTTCTCTCGGCTTGATTCCATTGGACGAATAGTAGTTATACCCCATGAGGAAGTCTGTGGGCTCCAAATTTTGCGCCCAGGCCTCCCCTTTTTCGGGAAAGTTTTAAATATTCAGTTATGGGGTAAATTTTTAGAAGACAGATCGGGCTTGAAAGAAGACACTACCCAGAGATTTCACCCTCTTTTTGTGAGAACTTTATGATATGAGTTTTGGTTTCTTATAAGCGCAAGCCCCTATAGTTAATTACCGCTCCCGACTGTGAGAGAGAGCTTTCGATTAAGGAGAGTCGTTGATGAATATGTCGTACCCGTAGTTACATGATATTCAGCATATAGTAGTAACATTGGTTTGGTATTTGAAAATTTAATATTTAAAATTTAGAAATTTCACCATTTTGCACTTAAAACGGATGGTGGAGGGAGTGATAATGAGCCAATTAACGTCCCATGGTTTCGTTGTCCCGGGCCATCGTGGCCCCTTGTTTACTGTTAGACCGGTCCAGCCGGTCCATATTGGACCGGCTCACGGATAGAGGCAAAAGAGTTCCGCCTCTCCTGTACGTGCTGACCGAACCGCCATTCTAATTGAGCCGTTTAGGAAGGTTTTTTGAGGGAGTTAGGAGGAAAATTTGATGTAGGGATTGTTTAGAGATTTCCTGTTGGATTGTGTGCATTAAATAGTTTGTTTTCCTAGGGTTAGGGCATCTTGAATTTGGCTTAAATTTGAGAATTCTTAGATTTTTTGGGCTCTAGCGGCGTCTAGAGATTTGGGAGAGATAGATCCTCCTCTCGAATAGAGGATCAATTGTATCTTGTTATTTTCCTTCAGTTAGTTTGATTATTCCAATAAAAACTGCTTTTTTTTTGTTTTTCCCTTGGATTGGTTGATCGTTCTCGATGTTTTGGTCAATATCGTTAGGTTTCACTTGAGATCCTCAAGTGTTACCTAACAAATTGGTATCAGAGCGGTGTTCGGGTCTGTTTGGGCTGATTCCTGCATTGATTTTTCTCCTTCGAACCATCGTTTTTGCTTTTTTTTAGTTAAAATCCGAATTTTTGAGCCTAAGCGCTGTCTGGGGCTATTTGGGCTGATTGCCGAAGAAGTTTGTCTCCTTTGAACTGCTGTTTTTGCTGTTTTTGTGGTTGAAATACGAATTTTTGAGTCTAACAAAGATCTGATGACTTATGACGAGAAGAAAAGTAGAAGAATTGGAAGGGGAATCGGACAAATGAAATTTGAAACTTCAGATATTCAAACTTAAGTTTCAGATTTAAAAATTGATATTTCAGCCATCCATGATAAGTTCAATTCGAAATTTTTCACCATGGAGGAGATATTGAAGAAAGTGCTCGAGGGCCAAACCAAAATATCGTCGTTATAGGTGAGGGAAGGTGCTGATAGCCAAGGAAGTGGGGGAAACCCTAAGACGATTAGACGAAGGGAAGATAAAGAGGTGGAGATTTTGGAAGGAATTGAAAAAATGCCACCCCTAGGGAGGAGTCGGGTAAAAGGTATGCGGAGAGGAGTGAGGGGGTTGGGCATTAGTGGAGGGATGTTGAATTTGAAAGAAGAGGGGCTGAATTTGAAAGATGAGGACTTGATTATGATTGAAGAGGTGTTGAATTTGAAAGGATATGGATTGAATATGATCGAACGGGTGTTGAATTTGAAGTGAGAAGGTGGGCTTGTGATGAAAGGTTTGGGTGCGAGCGGAGGAGAGATGAATGACACATTTGGGGGGAACCCCACCCCCTTGGGGAATGGAAAATTTTGGAGGAAGTAGGGTTGACAGAGATCTAAGACTGAGAAAACTGAAGATGCTTATTTTTGAGGGAGAGGATGTACATTGGTGGATCTACAGGATGGAAAGGTAATTTACTGTCAACAGGTTGACGAAGGAGGAGAGGTTGATGACAGCTGGCCTATGTTTGGAAGGGAAGGCTTTGACTTGGTACCAGTGGAGGGAAATGCGAGGATCCATACATAATTGGAGGGAGTTCATGGATTGTCTGTTAGAACGATTCCAAATCGGCAAGGGAGGAGATTTTTTCAAGTAGTTTTTGTCTTGACACAAGCTGATTAAGTGATAGAGTACCAGAAGAGGTTCGAGTACCTTGCTAGCCGATTACATCGTCATTCTGAGACTGTGCTAGAGGGGAACTTCATGAAAGGACTGAAACCAGAGATTTTGGCCGCAGTCAGAGTGATGAGACCTCGTGACTTGGGAGAGACTATGGAGCTAGCTTAGTTGGTGGAGGATCAGAGGCACCTTGAGAGAAAAACGGGAGGCAGCAGCTCAGTAGGCTCGTACAGGATGACAACCACCTTATTGGCATCCAAGGAACTAACACTTGATACTTTTCGAGGTATTTCAAAGGAAAAGACTGTAGGATGAAGACCTGGGGACAACATTAAGAAGCTCGCATAAATGAAATTACTGTAGAAGAGGGCAAAGGGGCTCTGTTTCATATGCGACGAGAGGTATATGCCAGGGCATATGTGTAAGGACATAACTCTTCAGGTTCTTACTGTTTGTGATGAAGAGAGAATTGAGGAGGGCGTCGTCTTTCTACCTTGCGGATAAGGTGGGTCTTTGCGAGGGCGGTATTATTAGATCGGTCCAATGGATCTGCTCAACCGGTCCATACAAGACCGACTTACAGACAGAGGTGGAAGAGTTCTGCCTCTCATGTACGCTATGACCGAACCGCCATTCCAATGGAGATGTTTAGTATGGTTTTTTGAGGGGGTTAGGAGGAAAATTTGAACATAGGGACTGTTTAGAGATTTCTTTTTTGGGTTGTATACATTAAATAGTTTGTTTTCCTAGGGTTAGCCCATCTTGAATTTGGCTAAAATTTGATATCTCTTAAATTTTTTGGGCTCTAGCATTTTAAATTTTTTATGAGTATTGAGAGGCATTTTAAATGCTTGAAGTCCCCTCGGTTAATATCTTATGTCAAATCGTGCATCATTGGGGTGTATGACCAATTTTGTTTTCTTAGTTAGACCTTGTCGACTCTGTCTTATTTTTTGACAGAGAATTGGGTTTGTTGTAGGCTTGGTGCCTTTGATAAATTCTTGAGAATTATCCTCTATGGTTGAGATTTTCTGTCAATACGACCATGATCAGAGTGTTATGGGCAATTTTGTTTTATTAGTTAAACCTCATTGACTCTATCTTATTTTCCGACAGAGGATCGGGTTTGTTGTAGGCTTGGTGCCTTTGATAGATTCTTGAGAATTAATGCCTCCGGTTGAGATTTACATTCAACACGACCATTATTTGGGTGACTTTGAGGTCATTTAAAAATATTTGTATTTTGTGAAAGTTTGAGTGCGTTTGAAAATATATGATTCCCTCTGGTTTAGATAAATATTGAACACAACCATTATCAGGGTATCTTTGAGGTCATTTGGAGATATTAGTATTTTGTGGAAGTTTGAGAGCATTTGAAAATATATAATCCCCTCCGGCTGAGATAAACATTCAACAAGACTATCATCAGGGTATCTTTGAGGTCATTTGGAGATATTAATATTTTGTGGAAGTTTGACGGCATTTGAAATTATATGATCCCCTCCGGTTGAGATAAACATTCAACATGACCATCATTAGGGTATTTATGAGCATTTTGTTTCGTTGATTAAACCTTATCGACTCTGTCTACTTGCTAACAAAGGATCGGGTTCTTCACAGGCATTATGCTTTTATTAGCAAATTTTTCTTATTGTGGGTCTTGAAGGTCTAATATGAACTATAAAACAAATATTTCGGTCGATGTCGAGACTTTATATCTGTTTGATGGTTCGTGTCGTGTCGACTCCTATCCAGTTGCATAGAAGGATCAAGCTTGAACTTCAATTCATTTCTTGACATGCGCAACATCCTCAAACATCACGTGTGTACTTACAACACGCTTGTCGGGGCCCACGCGGGTACATGTTATTACATGTATACTGCATGATGTATTCACGTGTGTGTATAACACGCCTTTTTAAAATGCAATTATTGTGTCAAAATGACATACTAGAGTGAAACCCTTTGCTTATTATAAATGCATGCCGGGTATTTTTTAATGTGAT